AAAAAAAAAAAAATGCCAGGAGTTGTTTGTTTACATTTGAACCTAATATATCATGTTATTCTCATAAATAAATGTATACTTATAACTACTAGTACGAAACCCGCGCGATGCACTGGTAATATATATTTATTAATATTTACAAATTAAAAATTTATGAAATTTAAATTGTGCAAAAGTCGCATAGAACATGTTTATTTAAAACCCGACAACGAAGTGCAGTTTGAGTGGTAAGACGTTTCACCTATGACCAATAGGTCTTGAGTTCGACTAACTGAGTAGGGGAATTGAGAACACTATTGATCCTTTTTAAAAAGAAAAAAAAAAGGTAAAAATTAGTACACAATCCTTACGGTGCCTATGAATAGGTACACGTGAAATGTTGTACTCATTTTTATATGTCACTCTATTTTTTATATTTTTTATATTTGCTTGTAATTTAAAATATAATTTATTTTATAATAGTTTTTTCCAATTTTATGAGTATACAATTTCTTTCTTTTTTTCCCAAAAAATATTCGATGGAGTTTTACGCCTCAAACTTAACAATGTACGCGGTGATTAAATAATATTTTTTTAATTTGTACAACAAATATTTATTTAAACTACAAAACAATATCTATTAATCTTATCTTATTTGGTTTTAATTACATCTTACGAACATAGTTAAGAAATAAACAACATTTTTATTATAAATTTAGAAAAACACTAACCGTTTACACATTTTGAATTATCAATCTTATCAATAAAAATTTTATTGTTTTTATATACCATCTATCTAACCACTAAAGTTTTATTTCATATATATTTAAAATTTAAAATTTACCCCACTTTTTAACTTCAAAATTTTTCAAATTTTTTTCTTATTTTATAGGTGAATATATTATTTTAACACAGGAATGGTGAATTTAAATTTCACGTCAAAATTGGACAGAATTTTCAACAATCCCACCGTTTTAGGGTTCATTTAATGATGCCTTTAAAAAGTAAAAAATAAAATAAAAACTTGTTATTAATAGGATGTAATTAATGTTGAACCATATTTGACCAAAGTTGACCTGCTACTTTTAAAAAATAGTTATTCTTTTTATATAAGTATAGATTTATTGAAATAAGTTACTGTGAGAGATTCAAAATTAATATATTAATATTGAATATCATTTTTATTGTTATCTATTGTCAATATATAATGTATCAAATTAATCGGTTCTTACAAATCGATTTGATATTTATACTGCATATATACAATAAAAAAATTATCTATATTTATAAATATAAATTAAATAAAAATTATAATAGAATTTTTCTTAAAGTATTTAAATAAAAAATAGAAGTTGTTACATGAACTTTTAATTAACACCGATGTAATGCATAATTAGTTTGGTACCAACTAGTCGCGACCCGTGCGATGCGGGGGAAAATATTTTAAAGCGGAATATTTAAAACAATTAAAGGATATTAAATTGTGAAAGAGTTATTATACATACGGCAATAATACACAACTCGACACTAACATGGGAAAATCGTATCATATATTATTGAAAATCTCGTTATTATACAATATTATTTGTTTGATTTGTTGGAGAGTCATCATCACCACAAACTAGTATTTTGAAACCGTTTCGATTGGTGACACAGGATCAACGTAAATTGGTCCTTCAAAACCAAACTAGCATGGGATAATGATTGTCTGTGACTCTTATTCATAGTCATGGCGTAATAAATCATAATTGAGAACTGTCGCTCCTTGATTATGTTTGTTTCTGTTTGTGCCATTTTTGTTGCATTTTTCCTTATTGTTTTGTCTTTCTTTTTCCCCCACGTTAGGTCTTTTCGTCAGTTTTTAGCTCGTTTTAGTGTTTATTGTGTGTTTTGTTTTATTTCAGTTTTCTAGGTGTTTTCCGTATGTTTTTCCGGTTATTTTTCATTTATGGTGTGCAGGTCGAATGATTCGAGTGGATTTATTTTTTACGATAAATAAACCGAGAGGGTATTGATTAAAAAGAGCATTTCGTTGGCATTAAGTAGAAGAAAACGAGACGTAATTCCGTGTTGAGACGCGTTCAAATGGGCCCGAATAAAGTTGTGCGGCAAGACCACCAGCTTTCCCAGGCCCGTGCCACATCAGCCAGCCTCTCACACGCTTGCCGCGCCGCGGCGGTGCCGCGACTTGGACAGAGAAGCAGACTTCCAGGCCCCGCGCCGTGCCGGTGCCACGTCACGGACAGAGAACTAGATATCACGCACCACGCTGCTTCACGCTGTGCGCTGCGACACCCTCCAGCCCCGCACCGCGAAGACCCGTCACGCCGCGGCAGAGTTGTTCCTCGCGCCGCTGCACCTTCCCACGTCGCGTCATTACGTTGAGTGTTATTCTCCTCGCGCCGCGCTGCTGCCCCGCGCCACGGTACGCTGCTTTTCTCACGCCGCGATGCACTCCGCTTAGCCCCTCCACGCACGTTCATAGACCTGTTATGCGTACTCGTCGCCGCGGGGCCATGCCACACTGCGGTGCATTCTAGCTTCACGTCGTACTGCCCCTTCGCGCCGCGACGCCTACCCTCTCCGCGCCGCGCCACCGAGACCTCTCCATGCTGTGATAACATTCCACGCCAGCGGGATATATATATATATACGTATGGGAATAGGAAAAGGGATTCTTACCTCTCGACAGGGTAAAAACCCTAGGTCCAAGAAAAACTTCACGACTCTCTTCTTTTTCTCTCTTCTTCTTCGTTCGCTCGTTTCTTTTCTTTTCTTAATCTTTTTTTCTTCATTTTTCTTCTTCCCCTTCTAGTTATTTAGGGATTAAGCTTTGTAATTTTGGATTCAACACTCGAATTGAAAATCGTAAGTTCTTCTCTTTATTTTTAATTCATGAAAAATGATTGAATTGAGAGAGATTATGGATTGTGTTGAATTAATTTTACGTAGCTAAATCTTATTTCTAGGGATAGGGAATGATTGTTCTTATTTAATTCGTATCTCTCGGGCTTGAAATGTTCATGCTTATGTGAGTTAATTTGATTAAGAATTGATGAAATCGTGCTTGATAGTTTGAATTAATCGAAGGGTGATACTTCGATCTAGCAGTTGATAACAATTGAATATTGAGTTGTTGAGTTTGGTTTTATTGATTCCAATGATTAGTTGATTAAACACCTTCTAGTTAAATTAGCGACTTTTTGAACGGAAAGGGGAGAAGTCGTAGACCTAGGCTTGCATGAAGTAGATAATTTCGTAACTGAATAATCTATGGGTTTGGATTGAAACACATACTTTTCGGTGTCTTTTCCCTTGTTACGAAAAGTTATTGGGATTCAATAGTTGGCCGGTATTGTGTGCTCAAACTTGCTCGTCTATGTTCAATCCTTTGTTACGAAGAGTTATTGGAAGCGAACCGCTAGACGTTTAAGCGAGAGTGTTGATCTCGAACCGAACAATGAATTGCCGATTTTGCTAAAGAACTTGAATTAATTATCCCCGACAGCCTAGCTTATTTTTCATCGTCTCATTTATATTTTTAGGTAGATTTTTGCTTTTTATTATTTTTAGCTGATAATTTCTCAAACCCGCTATCTGATTAGAATGTTTAGGTTTTTATTTTCTTTTGTGTGTGATCTATACTGGAGATAAATTCTGAACCGCCTTCCTCGAGAGATCGACCCGGGGAACGAATCTTTCGATTCGCTATTCGGTAAAAAATAATAATTTGTACACAACAGTTTCCATAGAATTATGTTGATTATGTTTGTTTCCTAGAATTAGGAAACTGATCATGCATATTTCAGGAATATAATATATATTTTGGATAATGATGGTATGCAAAAAAAGAAAATGAATGTTGTTTATTAAGTTTATATCCAAAGTATTAGGAAACTAACCATATAATTTTTTTAAAGTGGAAGAAGTTTCCGTTTTTTTTAAGGAGACTATGTAACGCCCCGATCAGTTAATAAATAAAACCAATTCACTTGCTCGACTTTAAAGTGAATTGGGTAATGTTCGAACCCTAGAGTTGTTCGATTCAATAGTTCTAAGAGTATTATGTAAAATATGTGCTTTTATGTGATATTATGTGATTAATTGCTTGATTATTACTCATATATGTTAGTACGATCAAGTTATATCATTTGGTCGTGCCGATATTTTCAAGATCGTGCATTGAGTCCTAGTCGAGCCTCCGATCTTTTAAAATATATACCCTAACCCTTGGCTATTAATCACTTTAGAACCCTTTTAATTTTATTAGAAGTCATATAAATGCAAGCAATCAAGCAAGTCAAGCTTCGTGCGAGTGGCACTAGCCGAACGGTTACGCGCCACTCGAACCCGAGCCCTAATGCCGAGCCATGGTCCACTTTTACCAACTCCTTTACTAAGTCATTGTCCTTGAATGTATTTAAGGGTTCGATTAGGCATTTTCTAAGTCTAATTGAGTCTAAGAAGGGTTAGCAAGGATTAAGTTAGATTAGCATTAGTTTATTTTAATTAAAGTGGCATGTGCTTGAAATATTATATTGTGTGGTGTAAGAAGCTTTGCCCTCACTTTCTTAGTACAAATATCAGAGAATCTTTCAGCTATATAGTGCACGATCAGCCATCACACCAGGCCATGTAGTGCTAATTACAATGTTTCTTGAAATTGGAAGTCACAAGTCTTTGTTCCCCACCTTGTCTCCACCTTTCTTGCATAATTTCTAATGCCCCACACCAGCACTTAAACTCTTCATTAGATACTCTTTAACTCATTTTCATACTTAGTGAAATCCAAGCAAAGCCCCTTCATTACTCCATAAAAGCCGAGAGCAAATAATACATAGTCGAGTGAAGCTATGTGTAACACGAGTGCATTTTCAGTTGGTTCTTGAGTTCTAGCCAAGATTTTCTTCAATTCTCAGCTATAGACTCATCATACATAATCCTTCTCTTATCCTAGAAGAGGTTAGTTTCAGCAAACTCAAGAATACAAGCCAAAGGAAGCAAGAAGCTGCAGCTATTCTAGGACCGAGAAACAACCAAGCATACACGACTTCTTTTGCATTTTCTTGAAAATTAAGAGGTAGGTGTGCTAAAATATTTTAAGAATCATAATATAGATGAGATAAGAAGTACAATGATATATATATATATATATATATATGTGTGTGTGTGTGTGTGTGTGTGTGTGTGTGTGTCATACATGTTCAGTTTTGAAGTAGTTATAAGCATGCAAGAAGTTGAAGTTGTCCTAGCTTGCATGAGTGTTTCTTATGTGTTGTTTACTTCTGCTTTTGGCTATAATATGAAAAACTTGGGAAACTATGCTTTATATGGTTGTTTCTTGTGTAAAAGAGTAGTTCATAGGATCAAGAATCAAGTCATTTAGACTAGTATAACTCGAGTTATAGATTTTTGAAGATAAGTATGCAAGTTGATTTTTATATGGCAGATTTCAACTACGACTTCAAACGCGAATAACTCGAGTTCTACTCAGGATAAAATTATGAAATTTATTGACATGTTTATATATGAGTTAAGAGCTTGCATATCAAATTTCATGATTTTATCTTAAGAAATGAGTGAGTTATATACTTTAGACCGTATGCATGTCATGTTGAATTTTATGGTCATAGAACTCCCTTAATACATGCGTATTTGATGTGAAATTTTAATGAGCATTTCTTGTATGAGTTATGAGTAATTTAACAAAGTTTCAGCTTCAGAAGCTAAGTATAAAATTTTATAAAATTCTTAGAATCAAATGCATGTTTATATGCGAATTTGATGTAATTGTTTGACCAACCTGATCTTAGAATAAGCTGAAATTTTAACTAGAAATTCATGTCTAAGTGAAGTATTAGATTGCTAATTTTCAGTATTTTTAGATATTTATATGATTTTATAAAAAAAATCGTAAATTTTAAGGGGTATATTAGCTCATTTAAATTGTTTAAATAAAAGTATTTGAACATGAGTATATATACAACCCTAAGCACGTATTTAAGTATAAGAGTTGGACGGTTGGAGCCAGATAAAGATAGACTGATAATTTTAGTTTCCAAGCTTCTGTCAGATTTTATCCGGAAGCTCGATATCAGTCCAGTCAAGTCGAGAAGCCAGTTCTAGTATTATTGGTTTATTAGCTTGTGTTTGTTTTATCTGTGTAAATTAATTGTATATATGTTTATATGTTTTTTCCTGTCTTGCTTGCCTATCTGCCACCATAATGTTAAAGTTTCAGAATCAGATTTATCATTCAAGCAAAATACTTAGATATATTTTCTTGTATATGTTTGGTAGCTTGTGGAGAGTCGAGCCTCCAACAGCTACACCAGTTTTCAGCACTTGCACAGTCTTTCAGCATAATCAGGTGGAGCCCTACACTGGGTATTACATCTCTTATAATCAATGTACCATGTATGAGGTATGTATGTAGATATTTACCCGAACGGTTGAGTTATCCCGTTCGTGGTCCAGTTTATGATGACTCGGTCTTGTATGGAAGGTTTTCTCATCTTGAGTCACTCACCTAGTTTTGAATGGTAGTTATTTCCATCCTGGGTTTATGAGGGAGACGACCCCCAGAATGTGATCACATGATAATCCGACCAGTTTTCTAATGTTGCACCAGTAGAGTATAGTTTTACTTATGTATATGCTGAGTTCATGATATTTGATTACATGTGCTGTATATTCAGTGTTGGTTCCTGCGGAGCATGGTGATTTAGTGCTCACGCCCCTACTATTTATCTTTTTAGGTGATGGCGTACAACCCGGAGTGTGAGCCGAGGAGTGGTGTGGTGGTGTCCGACAACAGTTGGACATTTATTATGTTTATGTTTATGTTGGCATGTAATAAGATAATTTCGTACTGTATTGTACTTTATTTACGCTTTCGTACTGCCAACTCAGAACCAGTATGCATGCATGTTTAATTTCCCTTATCCATATTCCCCAGCTGGATTAAATATGTCAATTGGGTTACATGTATAAGTAAAAGAAAGAGCAATAAGTAAAGTTAGTAAGTAAGTAGCATCCGGCAAGTCAGTTAAGTTCAAATGTTTTTCGAAACCAGTCATAGTATCTTTCGAAAACAACCACAAAAATTTTACCCAGTTTTTCTGAGTCTAGTTAGATAAGGCTGGGTGTTATAGTTTGGTATCAGAGTGCAGTTAGCATTTCTGTAGACTAAAAGTCTAGTTAAGTGTCCACACCACGTTCACGCTCGCGCTGACTCCGAGGTAAGTCACCTAAACCAGTCTTTATTTTTGCAAGTGCTTTATCAGTTCAATATAAAAATTTCAGGGGCCTAGAAATCTATCCTCCTATGAGAATGGGAATTCTAGATAAGAACTCTAGAAGGAACTAAGTCCAAGAACTCTAGTCAAAGTCAAAACTCCTATTTGATTCAGAACTCTAGACAAGTTAAGTTGTATTTTTCTCAATGACTCGTCAAGAAATGTGTATAGTATCGAGTTATTAATATTTCATCTCTTCTGCCGAACTCCTTCATGTGCTAACCCTGTCAACTGGCCATCTAGATGGCTAATCGCAGAAATGCTCCAGTCCAGCCAGTCGCAACCCCTCCAGTAGCTCCCGAGCCAGACCAGGGGCAGCGAGTCGC